TAAATATTTTAACACATTTTATTTCTCCATTTAACTTCTGTGACTAACTTCTGTTTCATTTCCTGGCTCGTCTCTGTGGAAACCTCACCACTAGCACAAAAGCATGCATCTAAATTCTATACCCTATCTCTGTACATTAAAGAGAATTTGCTTAAAGCACGTCTCAACTTCAAAGGCTGAATCTATTTGACATATTCCCAGACTGTCCTGTGAGCTGTGTCTCATACAATATTCTAACACATGTAACATCCCTTGTACACAAAAGCCCCCAAAAAATGGGGTGAGGGGAAGAAGAAAGTTTAGAGGAGAATATGATGCCACATATATTGTGGTCAATAGTGTCAATGTGAGGTTAGTTATTTTTAATTTCACTTTTCCTTCAAAACCTTGTTTTTTATCCTGTTTAAAGTAAAATTTCTAAAACAGAGAATTCTTATGATTATTAGTAAGTCAGATTTCTAGTTTTATGATATCTTTAATATTCCCTATAACTCCCTATGGACAACATAGTTAGGGAGAAATTGGAGAGAGGATATTTAGAACTAAGTAACACCACTTTAAATTTCAATAATAAATGTAATGTACAGACAAGAAAATTGTGGCTATATAATTCTGACCACATGCAAACGAAATGAATAGAGGCCTGTCAATCATTAATCTAAGATCTTTAGTATTTTCACTCAAGTCTATAGGTCTACAACTAGAAATTTTTTTTTTAAAAAAACCAATGGATAGGGAGAAAGAATTTTTTTTTAGTGGCAAATATACCCTACACACAAAGAACTCAGTTTTGGTCAGTAATGCCACTATCAATTCTTAGGGTCTCTACTGTAGGTATGAGGTGCACCAGTATATTTTTCAGCCAATTCAGAAGAGTTATAAGCTATTAAATATATATACATATATTATATAGCTACATGTTAGTTATGGCTATGGCTATATGTAAACTACCGATAAGGCTGGATTTATGCTGAAAGAATTTTCACTACCCACTTTAAAATACTTTGTTTTTATCAAAGAATCTTAAGGTAATTTGTCACAGCTAGATAAGCAGAGGAGAAAAAGGCAATATATTACAAATGTGTGTGTGTGTGTGTGTTGTGTGTGTGTGTGTGTGTGTGTGTGTGTGTGTATTCTGTTCAGTATAAGGAAGGGGAAAAAGTCTTCTCAACAACTGCAGTTTTCCAAAACTTTGATGAGCCACCTTGGTAGACAGAGAGGTCTCATCGATGGAGGTCTATAAGGAAAGGATAGATGACCGTTCTTTGGCAATAATGTAGAGATGATTTCTGCATAGGTACTGGTTGGAGTACATGACTTCTGAGGTCTTTTCTAACTCTCTAAGACTCTTTTGTTCTCAGGAGTTTTTAACCTGGGGTCTACCAACTATTTTTAGGAGGAGGTGGGGGGATAACTATTTCATTATTACTGGTTTCCTTTGCAATCTATGAATTTTATTTTACGGATTTAAAAATATGACTCTGAGAAGGGGTACATAGGCTTCACCAGACTGCCAAAGGGGTCCATGACACAAAAGCAGGTAAGAACATCTTTTCTAAAGAAATTAATTGCCTTGAGTTAGTGGAAGAATGTATTCTCATTTCTAGTTCTACACTTTATCTCCTATCTAATTAAGAACTGTTTTCCAATAACCTCTGTTGCTGCCACCTTCTGTCAGGCCTATTAATCATGCAGAGGCTTAGATCTAGCCATTTGAAAAATAAAACCTCTGAGTGAATGATAAGAAAAATAGAGAAACTTTAGTGAAAGGAGAGAGTGTTGGACTTGGTACCAGAAAGACCTGAGTTCAAGATCACCTCAGTCATTTACTAGCTGTGTGACCTCAGACAAATCACTTAAACGCAGGCTGCCTCAGTTTGCTCTTCTGTAAAATGGGTTGTTGTGAGAATAAAATGAGATGACATTTATAAAGGATTTTGCAAACCTTAAAGCATAATATAAATGCTAGCTATCGTTGTTGCTACCTATCTTACCTGTGTTGTGTAGGGAATCCAAATCTGACAAACTACTCTGAGAAGAAGACAATCCCAGAGTGGCATCTGTATTCAGCAAACTTCAGTTGATTGAACACCCAGGGTGTTTATTAGCTCTATGAGGTCCAGCTTAAAAAGGCCTTTGGTGAACTTTGACATTTTACAATTATTAATCATATGACCCCCATCACCAAAAGATCTAGGAAAGTTTAGTTGCTAAGATCTCAGTGCTTGAGGAATTTAGGGGCATGAGATCAGAGGCCCATGAAATTAACAAAAGTCTGAGAAGAAATTGAACAAATGCAGGAACAAATCACAGTTAAAGATTGAGAATAAGAGAATGTTTCTGGGAACTATTAGTTTGTTTCGGGTGAAAAGTTCACAAATCCATGTACTGCTAATTGTTTTCTATAAAATCAATTGCCTAAATTCAGCACTACAAGGTGACAGTATACTAATGAACAGTTTCAAAAAACCCCTACAATTTATATGTGCAATTTTAAAAATATTATAATTATTAGTGTAAACCAATTATTTTAATGGCATAGGGAATTCCTGCTAATGGAGCTGGGATTCTCATCTGTAATTTTATTATTTAAGGGTAGAGGAGGAGGCTAAAGGGTTAAATGACTCACCATCGTCACAGAGCTAGCATATGTCAGGGGTGGTACATGACCCTAGGTCTTCCTAATGTTTAGACTGGCCTTCTCTCCTCTATACAATGCTACTTCTCTGCTACTCCTAAGGAACTAAAAAAAAAAAGAGAATCATGAAATATGGACCAGTTTTATAGTCCCATACTACACCCCTTTTCAGTTCCTTTTCTGACTAAAACAACAAAGAATCCATCAAATTTTATTTAAGGGATCTCCTTAAAATCAACAATCTTACCTAATGGCATGCCCTACGGATGATGTTTAATGAACGCTATCCTTCTCAACCACCATGACAGTATGGAAGAAGTGGCTAGGCATCACTGCCAGGTTATTCTTCATATTTAAAGGCTGTCAAAGACTAGGCGCACTGTTTATGAGGGATTCCATGATGGATGGGAAGAAGGTTGCACTTGGTTGGTTTAAGCAGCAATAGAAATGGTACAGCAATGCCTATAAATTGAGAAGACAGAACTTGAAGAACTGACCAAAGTTGAACCGAGAGTTATAACCACTGTTCCAGTACTCCCCAATTCATCACCTTCAGGATCCACAAGATCAATCATAACTAGAAATACAATACCTAACAGCCTGTGACGTCCTTAAGTGGTAACTCTCCATTAAACTGGTCTTCTATTGAGGATTTATATGACAGTGTCATGGAAATCCTGGGATTAGATGATCTTTCCTCATAAAGTTAGCCAGAATATTTCAGATGTGGGAAGCATTAATATACACATACGACCTCTCATAAAAGAGGTAGCACTCCCATCAGTTACACCCTGTGCACCATGAATAGCAGTATAATTAATATGAAGTTGCAAAACATATACATGGTTGGGGGTGGGGTGGAGTAAGGTTTAAGATCATGGAGCTAATGATGATGTGACTTCTTTCTTTGACATAAAATAATAAGGAAAAGAGAACATAGAATGGGGGGGTGTACATAGCAATAGAGCCAAGGTCACATAGAGAAGCAGAGAGAAGGCTAAAGAAGCCACACTCAAGAGAGTATTGAATAAGACCACCTCAAGTCATCTCTGAACCTAAACAACTCTCTCTAAAACTGGGGACCTCCGAATAGTCCATGTAAATGCAGGAATCATTTTTATATGAGTATTCCTTGTAGTAGATAGATCACATTTATTTAACAGTCAAAGAATACACTGCAAGTCAATGTGCAAAACGAACGCTATGTATAATAAAGGAGCAATCGATCCATCTCCTGCTCCCTCTTTCCATACAAGGTATCCAATATGCTTATCCACATCTGAGTTCTAGATCCAATCATTCCAGCACAACTTTCTTAAAATAGCGAACAATGTAAAGCTGACTGAGTAAATGTTCCACTCTCTCCTTCTCCAACATTGGAAAGGTCTTGAATGAAAGAAAGGCAGGCATGCAGTATTTGCACAGAGGCATTACCTGCCCATGGGACATGTCCTCTTTTAACAGATGCTAACTTGGCTAACTGCTAGAACACATGAAGGGAATCTACATTTTGTAAAACATTGACCATGTTTTCACCCCAGTGAATGGTATTTTGTTCTGGCCCACAAGATGATAGCCAAAGGCCATTGAACTCATCTTAATCTGAGTCCCGAGAAGTGATAGAAGTCAAATTCAGATCATGAGGACCATATATTTGTATTTCATGGATGATCTCTATAGCATATAAACTTAACTGATCCACCTACACAGAGAAAAGCACCTGGGTTAGTGGGCTGTACAATGTGAGCTTACTAATGCATCCTCTAGATAAGAGGTTAAATGGCTACAAGAAACCATGCAAACACGGAGATCTGACCATCTCTACTGGGATCCCAAACAACAATGCCTTCCCAAATATGAACAAAATGCTACTAAGCATCTCTAGATCCCATATTCTAAATGTTAATGTCCAAATACCTTCTTCTGTCGTGTCATCATATCTACACATTTGGCTTAAAGAATGTTCATCACATAATTGCCTTCCAATAAACCTGGATAAAAAATAAACTTCCCATCATTACATTGGGTTTCCTAACTTTGATCTAATGGATAGGATGTAGCTGAAGAACAATAGTCAATTTCAACAAATATTGCTCCAAACAGTTATGTATGCGGTTCTGTTTGGGGACATTTGGGATGCTTCGGCCTAATTTTTAAATTGAAATTGGAAAAGGTGGCATTTTAGAATCTTTTAAAACACACACGCACACACACACACACACACACACACACACACACACACACACACACACACACACACTTCTTCCTCATACCAAAAATCAAAAAGATTGAATCTTTAACTAAAACAATTTGTGAACTTTTCTGACCCTGCCGCATTCTGTGAAGGAGACTGGCTAAAAAGTAGTATTGAAATGCAAAGCATGACCTATACTTTATTTAAGGGAAAGAAGCAGAGATGGTCCCCCTCACTCCTGCACAGTATGTGCACTCACTGGAAGAGGAGACACTGTACCCTCACTCCCCGTACCTTGGGCTAGGGAGACCAAAGGCGCTGCACAAAGCTCTGTGTTCCTATGGGTGGTTGTTGGTACCACCAAATCAATCCACTGAGGCCAGAGCATTCTCACAGTTGAAACTGGTCCTAAACTATGGGTCTCAAAATTGGCTTTTCTTCCCCTGTTATCTGAGGGATCCACCAGAAAGGGTAAACAGCAAGAGGGGCGTATCAATTTTCCTTGATATGGCTCTTCAGGTCTTTGCTTTTCCCCTAAGCTGTTCACATCAGGACCTGTTCTCGAGTCTCTGGCAATCGAAGGGCAATCAGGCCTCCCCCAACCAGAGAAGAGGAAGCCAAAAGGATGGGAACTACTTTGGTTATCCCTACAAAGGAAGCAAAGATGGAATTTCCCAAGATGGCCCCGAATTTGCAGATGCCATTGAGGATACCAAAGGCTGTCGCTCTGTAGAGAAAAAAAAAAAGGAATAAAGGTAAACCAGAGTAGATAAAGAGAGCTGAACACGGTGACGTTAGGTATAGCAAAGCAATCTTATTACCTCTGTCACTAACTACATATGTGACCTTGGACCAGTTAATCTCCTTGGGCCTCAACTTTGTTATTTGTAAAATGAGGGGGTTTAAGGATCTGTGAACTTTTTAAAAATAAAGTCTTATGTACTTTATTTTATTCATTTAAAAACATTCTGAGAATGGTTCCATAGGCTTTACCAGACTACCAAAAGGATCCATTAGAAAAACAAGATTAAGAACCCCTAGAGTAAACTATGTCCTCTAGGGTCCTTTCTAACTCTAAATATATGACCCTATGATCCCCATTTATTATTCTCAGTATAAGAGATTTACAGCAGGAAAAAAAATCTCCTGATTCAGAATACAAGTGAGTTGGATGGAAGAACACTAATCTGCTGTGGGTAACTCAGAACCACTGGCCAAGGGCCACTTGGGTCAGGGTATTTATCATTCACAGCTGAGTTTTTATAGGATGTAAATAGGCTAGTAATCAAGTCTGGATAGTTTTAGGTAATTAAGAAAGAATGTTAGAGAGCCCTAGGGACGTGGGAAAATTGCACTAGGGTATCCTTGTTACCTACTTTAGTAGTTCACATTACATCTACTTTCTTTTTTGTTGTTCTTTTTTTTTGTTGTCATTTTCAGTCATGTCTGACTCTTTGTGACCCCCTTGGGTTTTCTTGGCAAAGATACTGGAGTGGTTTGCCATTTCCTTCTCCAGCTCCTTTTACAGATGAGGAAATGGAAGTAAACAGGGTTAGGTGACTTACACAGGGCCATACAGTTAGTAAGCATTTGAGGCTGGATTTGAACTCAGGTCTTCCTGACTCCAGGCCCAGTGCTTTATCCACTGTGCCACGAGCTGCCTACTTTCTTTCTTAATAAAGATTAACAGCAATACTGGCCTATAGAGTACATATACATACCAAGTGGCTGTTTCGGGTGGACAAAAAGAAATAAGTGCACCAGAAGGTGCAATGTAGGAAACAGCAAGAGCCAGAGATACATGGTCTCCCAACTTCCTCCCGCTCCTGTACTCTACTGGGACAGAGTGTTGACCTTGTCCCTTGTGACACCTGCTTCTGCCTCAGTTCAGGGACCAAGAATCCTCCTTGACCTTTAGTTTTATTCAGATTCCTGTTCTCTGAAGAACAGAGGACCAGGATGGTACCCCTGACATTGTCCTCGGAGAGCTAGCATTTATATAGCGCGAAGCAGTTCCCACGTCGACCTCATCGGTTCCTCACAATAATGTTGTGAGGCAGGTGCTATCATCTTCACCATTTTACAGAGGAGGCAACTTAAGTCAGCTGAAGTTAAGTGACTCACCCGCGGTCACATAGCTAGTAAATGCATGAGGCAGGATTTGAACTCAGGTTCAAAACAACTGAGCTCTTATGTGATCCTGGTCAGTCACTGGACCTCAGGGCTACCAAAGAGCCACCTGTGAGAGGGCAGGAGCTGTGGCGCTTGGCGGGACCCCCCGTCTGCTCCCCTCTCCTCTCTCCTTCCCCCCCCCTCTAGCCGAAGGGCCGTATTTGTGCTTGATCAAAGCCAGACAACAACCAGGCCCAGGGTACCTTTGGTGGGTGGGATACAGCTCCACTGTAACCACATCCAGAGCATTCCAGGCAGCAATGCTGGCCCCGCAGAACACGCACTGCCAGCCAATCATGGCGGACTCACTGTGGCCAAAAAACAGGAAGAAGCAGCAGACCGCCGATATCAGCATGGAGCCACCTTGAAGGAAGCCAAGAGACAAAAGCGTGGCATCAGTTTCTTTAACAACCAGCCGGTTAAACATAAGCGTATATTTCAAGAAAAGTCAACCCACTCCATGACCTAATCTCTAAACCCTGGCAAAAGACCAGGAAGGAAGTACAATGTTAACTTTGTCATCGTCCAGTCATGTCGGTTATGTCCGACTTCATGATCCAATTCGAGGTTTTCTCGGCAAAGATACTGGAGTGGTTTGCCATTTTCTTATCCAGCTCATTTTACACATGAGGAAACTGAGGCAAAAAGGGGTGAGTAACTTGCCCGGAGTCACACGGCTAGTAAATATCTAAGGCTGAATCTGAACTCAGGTCTTCCTGACTCCAGGCCCACTATGCCACCTAGCTGTCCAAGATCACACAGCTATTTGGTGGCAAAGATTCCAACCTGGATCACCCGATTCTTGATCCGGTGTAATTCCCACTGTACAAAAAAGGAGGGGTGAAGCCACAAGTCATCAGTGACTGACAAAAGACAGACAGCCCTGGTCTTGACTATTCTCCACTGTATACGCGTTAGTTCTACCATTCTTATACGCAGACCTAACCTTCTACTTAAGCTTCGCTATTCTAAACCTCAGCTTTGTGGATATTGTAAGATCAGTCTTGGTGGTCTTAAGACTACCGTGACAGTCTCCCCTTAAGGGAGGGTATAGCTTATAGAATCTATGCATGGAAAGCATTGTTATAAGCTTAGGCCTGATGGTTTTAAGACCATCCTAACTGACTGTCTTCCCTTAAGAGAGGCTGTAAGCTTATAGAACATACTCAAGGAAAAATACTGATGATATAGCTGTGTTGTCCAAATAAATAACATTTTGTCTACCTCTAGCTTGTTTTCTCTCCCTAATAACAAACCCCCAAAACAGTATTTTTCTCTGATTCCTGATATGCACCTCAGTCAGTTCCAGGGAGGCCATCCAAAATTGTGGTATAAGAACCTCACTCTCAGAAGGGCACTTTGGAACACACCCTCCCCCGCTGGAGTATCGTCTTCCTGCTGAATGGAGCCATGTCTCTGTGCTTGCCAACGTAGCACTGCCCTGATGTGAATTATACTCTACGTTAGTGTTTAAGTTTGAACAGTACACCAGGTCCTCTTTTCATCTCTCCTCTTACTCCTTGTTCCCACTCCTTGTAATGAAGCTTCACGTTGAACAGACTCTCATTACTCTGTACATTCTTCTCAGCACTCAAACTCATTAAGGGGTTGTTTTCCCCAGTGTTTCTGGGTGGCTGATAGATCTTTTCTTAGACATAAACTGGGTACCCAGACAAGGATTTAATCCATTGAGAGCGACAGCTACAGTTTGGGACGTAGAGGACTGTGAGCTGTTGTAGAAAGCAAAGGCTGGTAGAGGAACTCTATGTCCTCCCGAAGAGACTCCTCATGCCAAAGAACTGTCACAAAACAATTATTCCCAATTTCCTCCTTCATGATCTAATGTCCTCAATTTTTAAAATCGACTATTTCCCTGTCTTCCAGAAGACAGAAATGTAGTGGCTTGATTGCCCATTGATTGGCCTGAGAGCTCTGCCCTTAGCCAACTTGCCCCTATTTAGGCAATCCACTCCCTACTCCCATGGCTTATCACATTGGTGCAGTACTTAGTGTGGATTCCTGCCTGCCAGAACTTCCAAGCTCAAATGATCCACTAGCTTCAGCCTCCCCAGAATCAGGCATTATAGTCATGTACTACCTTGTCCCTTGATGTCCCCAATTCTAGAGGAATGGTCCCACAACTTTAATCTCTGTCCTATACCAAAAAGCCGATGAGGAGAAGAATGCCTTAAGAAGCAGAACTGGTCAAATGGAAAAGGAAGCCCAAAAGCTCACCGAAGAAAATACTTCCTTAAAAATTAGAATGGAGAAAATGAAAGCTAGTGACTTTATGAGAAATCAAGACATTGTGAAACAAAACCAAAAGAATGAAAAAATAGAAGTCAATGTGAAATATCTCATTGGAAAAACAACTGACCTGGAAAATAGATCCAGGAGAGATAATTTTAAAATTATTGGCCTATCTGAAAGCCATGATCAAAAAAAGAGCCTAGACATCATCTTTCAAGAAACTATCAAGGAAAAAAGCTTAAGACATTGCACAACCAAGAGTACAAAATAAATAAACAAATAAATAAAGCAGGTTCCCTGGTGTAGGAAGATTTCCTCTCCACCTCTCACCACTGTAGGTCCAATTAATACAGGCAGCAAATTGTTGCAATTCTGATGGGAAAGCTAGAGATGTCAGGCAATAGCCAGACTACATGTATATGTTGTATGAAGGGCCTGAGAGTTGGGATACGGCAATACAAAAAAGGCAGCAGCGGTTATAGGGAGAGTATGTATGTTCCACTAATGCTTTCCCATGAAAGTTGAGGTGGAATAAAAGGGTCTGTATGGGAATATGTGGAGGCTGAAGATGTGCCCTCTGAAACACAAGAGTGAGCCTGAGAATGTCCTGATGAACAGGAAGGAGAGACTGAGAATCCTTGGTGTTAAAGGGCTTATGAATTGGGAAAAAGATGGAGGAATATGGGCAGAAACCCATTTGAACTCTCCTAACATTCCCCTCCAAACTTGAAAATAACTCCTCAAATCAAATTTTGGAGCCACAACAGAAGGTCATAGTGGGACATTTTTCCAGCCTAAGACAACTAAGGAGGTCAGCAAGAGGGGTCTGTGACACCAGGGTATATGCTGGCCCAGAGTGCAGCAGGAGCTCCAAAGGTAGGCCTTGGAGGAGGCCTTGACAGCTAGCCTCAGGAGCTCTCAGCCCAGAGGTGGTAAGGGGGTCAGACAAGAGATTACAGGGGACCTTTTGCTGACACTGGGAGCAGCTGGTGCTGATTGGCACCTCTATTGCCCATAAGCAGTTCTGGGTTGCAGTTTCAGAAAAGAGAGGAACCTGGTCACACTTCCAGGACCAAAAGGAGCCCTAGTGCTTGCGGCTGCAGGGGAGCAGAGGCCCTTTCTGGGTAAAGACCAGAGTGCAGACCAGAAGAGAGGTGGCCCCACCTCTCCCCACATCACAACACCTTAGAAGGCCCCCAAACTTACAGACCCTCAGAACGAGCTCTGAAAACAGCAGCTCGAAAAAGCCTGAAGTTTCCCAATTCCAAATGACTCATGATTGAAAAAAAAAAATGCTATCCACCTCCAGAGAGAGAGCTGAGGAACTCTGAGTACAGATTGAAGTATAATTTTCTCTCGCTTTTTTTGCTTTTTTTTGTGATATAGCTGATATGGAAATATGTTGTGCACGATTTCACACACATAATTAATTGATATTTTGCTTGCCTTGTCAGGTGCTATAATTACCCTTTTACAGATCTATAATTATTGCCCCCATTGATATAATTGTTACTCCCATTTTACAGATTTGCACCTACCTCCCAGGGTTGTTGTAAAGGTAAAATGAGATATTTGTAAAATGCTTTGTAAGCCTTAAAATGCTATGTAGCTAAAAGATTGGCTCTTATACAACTGAATTTCTATATCTGAATCATCAGCATAGTTCTCCAAGTTTTGATTTCTACTCTTCTTACCAGATAATAAGATAATCCCTCACACTGTGTCTTTTGGTCAGTCAGTCAGTCAATTATTATTAAGCACATACTATGTGCCAGGCACTGTGCTAAGCACTGTAGATGGAAAGGACAAAAGACAGTGCCTGCTTTCAAGAAGCTCATAGTCTAGAGGGGAAGACAACATGCAAACAACTACGTACAAGCAAGCTCTACGTAGGATGATTTTGAAATAACCAAGCCTCCTACAGAAGGGAGGATTTTAGCTGGGACATCGAGGAAGCCGATGATGTCAAGAGGCAGAGAAGAGGAATTGAGGGTGTTCCAGGCATGGGGACACCCAGTGAAAAAGCATGGAATGGGGAAAGGGAGTGTCTTATTTGAGGAAGAGGAAGTAGACCAGTGTCACTGAATCACAGAATATGTGGAGAGGTGTAAGAAGACTAGAAAGCTGGGTTAGGAGAGAGGGGGTTAGTTCACGAACAGCTTTGATGACTAGAGGATTTTATATTTGTTTCTGGAGGTGACAAGGAGCCACTAGAGTTTATTAAGTAGAAGGGCAGCAAGGTCAGACCTAAGCTTTAAGAAGATCACGTAGAGGTGTAGCTAGGTGGCGTAGCGGGCAGAGCTCCGGCCTTGGAGTCAGGAGGACCTGAGTTCAAAACCAGTCTCAGACCAGACACTTGACACTTCCTAGCTGTGTGACCCTGGACAAGTCACTTAACCCCAATTGCCTCACCATAAAGCAAAAAAAAAAGTCACTTAGTTGAATATAGGATGAATTAGAGTGAGGAGAGGCTAGTGGAGGCATATATTACAGACAGTCTTCCTCGGGGTATTTAGCCACAAAAGAGAGGAAACAAAACTGAATGGCAGCTAGCAGAGATGGATAGATCAAATGAGGACTTTTTTGAGGATGGGTGAGAGATTATACAAGGAAGTAAGGGGGCAATCTTACACAGCAATTCCATCAACAGGCATAAAGATGTTTCATGAGAGGTAGGTTTGAGGGAGGAGAGAATGATGATCCCCTTTTTTGGAAATGTTGAGATTGAAGTACAAGCAGGACATCAAAGTAAAAACATGTAGCAAGCCGTTTGAAATACAAGACAGAAATCAGGATGAAACACACAGATTTGGCAGTCCTCTGCATATAGGTGACAAAAAAAAAAGCTATTGAATGGATATGATTTCCAAGGAAGAGAACATAAAAAGGAAAAAGAATTAGGCCAAAGACAAACCTATTGTTTGTCTCAGAGAAAATTTTTCAGTATGTTTTTTGTACAAGTTACCCACACACACACACACACCCCCACATACACATACATATGTGGGGGGGTGTATAAAAATATATGTGTGAATTGAAGCAAATGGGAAATAGAGAATCTTTAAGATCCAACTAAATATTTGTCCTTTGAACATATTAGAACATGAAAACATTCATCAGTAAAGAAGTGGGATATTACAAAATGTTGTGTGCATTCTTTTTTCCTTTTTGCAAGGGACAGTTCAGTGTTGGTGGGAAAGTATACAAGCCAGTGGAAAAAAAAACCAAAAGTATCAACAGATCATTTTAAAAATCCTAGTTATTAGGTCCAGTTTTTCATTATTAACTTTTATTTTATTTATATTTTTAAAATCAGCTTGAACCTGGAGTCAGTGAAATAATTCAATTCAATTCAAGAAACATTCATTCTAGGGGCAGCTAGGTGGTGCAGTGGATAAAGCACTGGCCCTGGAGTCAGGAGGGCCAGAGTTCAAATCCAGCCTCGGACACATACTAGCTGTGTGCCCCTCAGCAAGTCACTTAACCCCGATGAAACAAACAAGTTACTACTACTTACGATATGAACAACTACAAGTTAATATTATTCACTAGGGATTTCACGATGAGGGAAAAAGGGACCACATTTCTGTCCCTGACCTTGTCTGACAACTGTAAAACAGTTAAGGAGGGATGGGAAATCTACTCCCTCCAAATTCATAAATTGGCACGTGGTGCACTCCCTACATTCTCGGCCATCCATGACCAGGAATAACTTTCTGTTTGTTATAAGATATTTGGATTTAAACATTAGGTTTTTCCCTTACCAAAGTTTCCTGCCCCTCATTTTTGTCTACTGCTTTAAAAAAAACTTTCTCAGGGTACTTTCCAAAATATTATTTCATCACATTCTTACAGAAACTTTGTAAAATGGAGGGAGCAAGTATGATTCTATCCATTTTGCAGATGAGAAAGCTGAGTCACAGAAAAGGTAAATGATTTCTTCACAGCCACAAAGTTGCTTATTGGCATAACAAACATGTCCCCGAATTTATCTGTGTACTGGCCACCACTGCCCACAAACTCACCAATCATCTTGATTCTACCAATTTTGTCCATGAGCAGAGCTGATACAATGTTGCCAGGTAATACAGACAGACTGCCAAGGAAGCTAACAAGGTAAATTAGGAAGTCATTGTCTTCTTCAAAGTCCAGGTGGCACCCCTCTTTCTGCTCCATAAAGGTGGTGTTGATGAACCGGCAACCAATGAATTTATGGTGATAGAGATCTGTAAGGGAAAGAAGCCAAGGTTAAAACAGTTCACTCCTGAAATGTAAGCTCACTAGGGGCATCTCATCTTCATCTCTGCCCCCAGTTTCTAGCACTGTGTCCTGAATTTTTAACAGGCACTTAATAAATGTCTATTGAATTTCATTATTGAATTCAAAGAAGGAGGAGGAGGGGGTAAGGATAGGGTGAATCATAAACACATGCTGTCTCCATGGGTGGCGAAGGATGTGTGTCAGCATTGGCAAAGAAAGTTCTCCAAGTCAAAGTGGTTTATGGCTAATTCAGGTGGGGAGAGAGGGGAGGCGGGAAGCCTTTTAAAAATGTAATTAACTTCAAAATTCTAAGAAAGAGATCATCTGGCTTAAAAATAAAAAAAGTAAATTATTTGTGGAATTAATAATAATTAAAACTTACATAATTCAAGTATGGTAAATTTATGAGTTATTCATTAAAGCTTAAAATATTTGTGGGATATCCTTGATTTTTAAAAATTTGACCTTACAAAGGATGGCCATAGAGGCAGGGATTGGACCTGTGATTTCATTGATATTGAGAACTGCCAGGTAAGGAAACTTCCTCTATCTCTTCATTTATCAAAGGGCATTGACACATTGTTTCAAATGAGACAATGTTTGTAAAAGTATTTAGCACAGAGTCTGGCAACACAGTAGGAAACATATAAATGCTTATTCCCTTCCCCTCCCTTCATTCTCTCTGTAGTCCTCTAAGACACGCCCACTAAACATTCTTATTCCCATTTCACAGATGAAAAAAAACAAACGTGGAAAAGTTTACAGATCTCTATCACCATAAATTCATTGAAAATAATTAGAGAGTAAAGCTGGGGCTAAAACCCATGCAAGTCTTCTGAATCTTTCTGCTAGATGATGATGTCATCCTCATCCAATCCTGCTCCCGATGGTTTTCCTAGGAACAGGCAATGTCATGATGATTTATAAATCTTAAAATACTATGTGCATGTGTGCTATTATTAGTGAGAGGGAAGGGAGCTTGTCCTGTGATTTCACTGGGATGAGGAACTCCCAGATGAGAACACCCCTCTATCGAGGCAGTACAACATTTTCTCTAACTTTCAGTCTAGGAAATTGGCTTAGGGCATTGAAAAGTTTAGAGACTTGCTCGAGGTCACACAGCCAGAAAGTTTCAGAAGCAAGACTTGAACCCAGATTTTCCTGGGTCCAAGGTCAGCTCTCTGTCCTCTACTCCACACTGCCTCTCAGTGTTATTATTACTGTTGTTGTTGAGAGCTACTCTGAGCTAAGCTTCTCTGCCTGTTGCCTGCCTGATGTTGCTGTTACCTGTGTTATAGAAGACTGTGGATTCAATAGTGCAGTTTTTGAAGAAAGTCCCAGGAGACACCACATCTTCAAAATAGCATTCATCAAAGAAGGAAGATTCAAAGATTACATTCTTGAATTTCATCTTGTAGAACCTGTAGAAAAGGCATTACCCCACAGTGACATCAATTACAAGGATTTACACAGTGAAAATGGAGCCTTGAGATGCTAATAGGAAGAAGAAGACAACAGCTTAGGCAGGTGCTGAGGACTCTGCAGGATAAAAGACATTTTAACACCATATTCAATTCAAGTCAATCCCAAAAGCATTTCTTTAGCACCTCCCAAGTATAGAGGATACTATACTAGGTTCTGGAGGACACATAAAGCCCATATAAGACAATGTTTGCCCTTTGATTTCGTGGATACTGGAACATCCCCCACCTCTGAATATCATAGCAGCCTGGAGCAGAGTTGTCCAAGGACTTCCACCTCAACCAAATTCAAATGGAATTGACAAATATTTAACAAAATAAATAAAATACAACATAGACAATGTTAATTTATGGTTTTCAAAGTCAATATTCAGCTTGCAGGGATCTGTCTCTATCTGAAACGCTGGAAGAGAGGTGCCAGATCACTGATGTTATGTGATTTGCCCAGAGTCACCCAGCAAATAAGTATCAGAGGTCAGATTTCAACCAGGCTTTCCTGCTTCCAACTCCCTCTATTCGCTATACCAGGCTGTCTCTGGCAACATGTATGCAGTTATCTATGATACAAACAGGACATAAATGTATAAGAGAGGTTCAGAGTGATATAATACAGGGATTACATACTTTATCTATCTAAGTTCAGCGCGATATAATGTAAGGTTCCATACTTTATCTATTCTTCCCATTTTGCTATTTGTTTATTCATCATTTAGAAAGAATTGTGCCCTGCCTCAGTACTCAAAGAGTTTGAATCAGTATTACTTAGCACTGCAATAAAGGCTCACCTGAGAAACTCATCATCACCAGGAGGTAACCCATGATGCTTGAAGGTTATAGCAGGACAAGCAGTGGCAGGTGTGATGGCTTAGGTGGGTTTATCACTCAAGCCTCAGTCTACGTCCACTTCTTATTCCTCTCAGAAGGGAGCTCACAAAGTCACTGTCAAGCCTGAGACAACTCCTCAGATAAATAAGGACTCCCTCTGCTATCAGATGACAGGTCTCAGATCCACATGAATTTGCAAGCCTAATGTGTTTTACTCTGGAAGCCTATTGCTGCAACGTCCCTCTTTAACAAAGAAATAAAGCAGTCGTGGGGCATTTAGTGATCTCCTGCTGTTCTGCCAAGGGCAAATGATACAGAAGAGCCATAAATCACAGAGGAAGATACTAAGTACACGGGCCTTGAAATATTCCTCTCACTGAGTTATAAAAAGCTTCAGATATATGGGAGAAACTAAAAGAGGCAGGCCTATGGGACACATTCTAGAACTTTAAAATTCAAGTTAATTTCTGTAATGTGGCTGTAAACTTTATAAATAAGCAAAGCTCCCCTCACGCCCAATTCCTAATTTCTCTACTAAGCTAATCTTTATTCATAAGAGCATTTGAGTTGAGAGAAAAATCAGCACTGGGGAATAGTATCTTGGAAATTTTCTATTTAAAAAAAAAGGGCCGCTGTGATGTATAAACAGTAGGTGTTCTTGAGCCCCCCCATCAAGAGCTGTGCTATTTGGATCATTCCTTGAGCCAAGAGCACCTAACCCTTACTAGTGGATCTGGTTTGGGTCCGAGCACAACCGTCCATACCTGCCTTACCCCTGTGTGGCCTGAAAATAAAGGTTTGGAATTCTAACTTTAGCCCTGGCCTAAATTACCCAAGTAACTATAATAGTAGGTAGGAGGCTGTAAATATCTATATAACATCTGAGAACTACAGTTCTGTGCCTCAGATCAGCTCCAGCCATAGAGTCAAGAGGACAAAAAAAAATGTCACCTATCTCCAGGTATTTAGAAATGCCTGGAATGGTAGCAAGTTTGCCTTGCCTCCATTGTTGATGAGTTAGTGATATCAAGACGCTTTCAGAGACCCTTGTCAGCAGCAGATCACCAAAAGATGGAGATGCCAGATGAGTTTTGTCTGCTCCCAAGTCCATGTGTTTATGCTATAAGGAAGAGTTAGATCATAAGCTTGGACTTCTAGATGATTTCATCTGGACCTACTGGTGCCATTACTCGAACATCAATTGGAAACCTCATTATATTTCCAACACTCTTTTGCCTATTCACAAGGAATGACAGTAGAGGGCTAACCAAACTGAATTGTGTCTTCCCTGGAATGACTGGGCTTGAAGTAGACTGTTTGGAAATTGTATGCGCCTAGGAGACCTGCAGGGACAGCTGAAGGGTTGATGTCCGATAATATATTATTATGTTGCTTTTATCTTTTCTGTGCAAAAACACATTGCATAAACTGTATCGAAGTATGTCAGTCTCTTCATGTAGAGAACCAATTCCATTTTGCCAGGTCGTGAGACTAGAATTCAGGGAAATATAGAAGATCTGTGACCTTGAAGTGGATATACCCCTCCAGTGATGCAGAGTACAACTTATCCGAGCTTTGCACCTAGTAAGTATCTACTAGTTTGATTGTTTTTGTCTCAAATCCCATTTCATTTTCCTAACTCTACTATCTAACCTTCAAAAGAGGGTTGTCAAATTCTTCATGCAAAGCAAAACGATAATAGAAACATAGGATGGTACAGAATAGAAATTTCAACCCATCCCACTGAAGGTGGAGAAGTAGGACAGCTAGGTGGTACAATGGCCATTGGACTTGGAGTCAAGAAGACCTGAGTTCAAACCACACGCCAGCCACTTATTAGCTAAGTAACCCTAGGCAAGTCATTAACCTCTCTCAGTCTCATTTTCCTCATCTGTAGAATGAAAGGGTGGGACCTCAGTGGTCTCTAAGGTCCCTTCTAATTCTAAATCTATAATCCCACAGTATTTCCTAAAGAACCAGGGAAGTCTGTGGATGGAGTAATTCAAAGCCAGGGGGCTTATTAAAGCACTCAAAACATAATCCCAAGCCCTTTGAGGAATGTAAGGAAAATCCACAGATCTCCTTCATCTTATAACTTGAAGAAGCCTTAGGGGCCAACATATACATAATTTAAACTCTCACTCCAAAAGAGGCAGTTAGGAGACAAGTTTGGTTAGGCCTCAAATTAATGACAGCGATAATATTTACATAGTTCTATCAGTTTTACAAAGCTCTTTGGAAATCTTATCTCATTTGATCCTCACAACAACCCTGGGAGGTAGGTGCTATTATCATCCCTATTTTACAGATGAGGAAGATGAGACAGATAGAAGTTAAGTGACTAACCTAAGGTCACAGGGCTAGGGTCTGGGGTATACCTGAACTCTAATTTTCCTGATTTCAGTTCCAGCCTTCTACGCACTGTACGACCTCACTACAAACTTCAGAGGTTCAGTGGCCACTAGCAATTATAGTCAAATTCTTCTTCTAAAGTGACAGAATCACCCCTGCCTGATTTAGCACAAGGGTCACAGTGATGCATGAATTTGAGATTCTTCACATAGAGCTTTTCAGAAACAACTAATTGTGAATGCCTTGACTCTTCATGTGATATTACAAATACTGACTGATCCAGAATGATGGTTTTACTGTCACTTTTCTAAGTATTATGAGACTTTCTCATGGGAAACCCAATAATACGACTCCAGTAGCTTCCCATTCAATTAGTGCTATAGATTGTGTAGGTAACAGGGCTGGGAGCATTGAGCTGAAATATCTGGTTGTTTGGTGCCCATGTTTTCTGTCTGAATTTTGCTAAATTGAATTCACTCATTGATTCTCCCTCCAGCTGAGTTGCCCTCCCAAAAAAACCCCTCCATCATATTCATTTTGTATATATGCTGTATATATTTCCATGTGTGGATGTTTTCTCCAACAGAATGTAAGCTTTTTGAGAACAGGGACTGTTTTATTTTTGTCTTTGTATCTGTGTATATTGTCTTCGTATAAATGTTTGTTGACTAACTAATTGAACTGTAAATTTTAGTTTATAGGGGGAAGGAGTGGTCCATAATTATTATTTTATCCAAGAAAGGAACTTAGAGTATAGAAACTCCTTCCACCAATGTAAATTGACAGCTTATCTGTAGTACGTGGTCAATATGTAAATCAATTAACATTTATTAATTGCCTCCCCTGTGCCAGACATTGTACTAAGCTAGTACGTGTCAGGGACAGGAATTAAACTGAGATGGGACAGAAATAATAATGGAGGCCTTGTTTGGAGGACTGTTAATTAAATTGTCCATTATTTTTTTTTCCAACCCACCTTCATCATTCAACAAATATCTGCTGAACTTACGTGTTTGACCTTGTGCTAAGTGATCTGTAGGATACAAAGACGAACAAAAACTCATCTCAACTTTCAAGAACTTATAATTTAGTATAGTTCAAAGAAAGCAGTGAGTAATAAATGCCTTAAATATGGTTCAAAGTGCTATGAAGGCTCAAATGAGGGTGGGACCACTTCTGGACTGAGAGGGAACAGGAAACCCTTCACAAAAGAGCTGAAATGTTAGCTGTGTTTTGAAGGTCCGTAAGATTTTAAGACACTGATAGGAGTGGATAAAATGGTTCCTCTTTTCTTTGTAGTATGGGCTTAGCCGAGTAAAGTCTGTTAGTGTTCAAATATTATCCTGATCTATCCTGAAATTACCATTTCTATCCTCTGCCCTGAAGTAATTCCTAACCCAGCCGATTAGATTTTCAGGGCCCAGGAAAGGAAAAACCTCTTCCTGCTAAAGTGTTGTTTGGTTTCCATGAAAAAAACTTGAGAGGGTCATTTCTGACACAGATTAAAGTTTCAATTTTAATTTCTACCTTTGTTCACATCCTACTTTTCAAATCTTGGGAAATTACAGTAACATATGTCTCTCCTTTTTGGTTCCTTCATCCTTGGAATTGAGAAGTTTAGGTTTTAAAGGGAGTTTCCTGAACTGAGACATTCTGGCAATGGAATTTTTCTTTAAAAAGAGAAGTGTTTTTTAAAAATATGCTAATCGTGCAAGTATATTTAGTGTATATCCATGCCAATGTGGTCATATTTAATAAGACTAGAAGTGCTAAAAGATTTTGTAAGGAAGCAGAGAAATGTTTTGATTTTTAAGTATCAGATTGGAGA